ATCGAATTTTTCTTTTTCAAAAATAAAATGAGTTAATGCTGCTGCTGTGGACACGTCGATGTAGAGATGAAGTTCACATCATGTGGCCGAACGCAACCTGTGTGCGTTTCAGATTTTGGGAAAATAGTCAGAAGTATTTATGATGAAAAAAGTGTTTTATTGATTAAATTTTATCAAAATTTAAAATATAAATTATTAAATAATATGTAAATTTTTTATATTAAATTTTTTTAATTTTATTATTTAATATACTTTAAATTATAAAATAATATCCTCATTTATTATTAAAAAACTTTAAAAAGACTATACAACTTACCTTCACAACTTGCCTTTATAATTTGATGATTCATATTTTACTGTAACAATAGCATTGGGTTAATTTTTTCTACAACTTTTATTTACACATTTTAAATATCATATAAGCAGATTCATGCAATGTAAAAAGTCTCCGTAGAGTAAAGAAGTGCTCATTATTGATTAAAATGTTTAGGTTATATGAAAATTTTCAAAATTATATGAAGTGTAATGTAAAATAAAAATAAATTTATGTTTATTAGTCAAGCTTTTAAAAATTAAAAATAAATAAATATTTTAAAATAACATCTTTTAGTAAAATATTATAAAAAATTAAAATAAACTTAAATTTAATTTTAAAATATATTGTTTTATTTTTAATAAAAATTTATAAAAATAAAATTTTTTAAATTTTTTTCTTCATTTTTAAAAGCTCAACTAACAAATACTTTCCCTAAATAAAAAAACTCATATTATTTTCAAATAAAAGGTTCAGTTTTACACCGGCAAACTGCAATAGGACATTCTCATTTAAAAGTAGAAAATGTTATGATTTAAATAATTTAATTATAATTTTTTATTAAAATTAAAAAATTTTGAGTTTAAGATGTTAATAAAATAAAAAAGAACCACCTCTCTTCCTATGTAACTAAAATAAAAAACTAAAAAAATATTATAATCCAGTCTATTCTACATAAATAACGTTACTTTTAATCATTCAAAAGTCTTACCTGTAACAATAGTTTTAAAAAATGCAATTGTGCAGCATTTTTCTGTTCGAAAAAAAATTATAAAAAAAAAAAAATCAGAGTCCATTTTTCCATTAAATGAAGAAAATCAGGAGACTGACATCTCGGTTTCTGCTGGGGGAGGGACCATAATAACCATTCAAGCTTTACCTTTGCCACATCTCTCAGCCAGCTCCGTATCTTCAACTCAATCCAAATGCGGTTTGTGTCTTTGTTTCCCAATTCCCTTTCTCCTTTTTGGTAAGTCTTCAAGCTTTCTCTATTCTGGGTTCACCTTCAGTTCTTGCAATTCTAAAAATTTTTATCAGATGTACTGAGTTTCAACTACCCACTTCAAGTTTTCTCTTTTAATTCATGTTCATGGGGCTCGTCTGATTTCAAAGTTCTGTACTTAGAAGAAATTGTGGTGAAAGTAGTTTGAGTTTGGGGGTTAACAGGGAACCCTTATTGGAAATCTTCTGGAAATCAATGGATACTTTACTCAAAACACATAACAAACTTGTGTTCTTGCCCCAGCCTCATGGGGCTTCAGAGAAACTGAGTAATTTAAGCTCTCCCAAAAGTCAGGAGCTTAAGTTTGGTCCTAGGAAGACTTTCTTGAGAAGGGGTAGGAATGGTTGTGTTAGGGCCAGTAGTAGTACCCTTTTGGAACTTGTTCCAGAAACCAAGAAGGAAAATCTGGACTTTGAGCTGCCTGTGTATGACCCATCTAAAGGGCTTGTAGTGGATTTAGCTGTAGTGGGAGGTGGCCCGGCAGGGCTTGCTGTTGCTCAGCAGGTTTCCGAGGTAGGGCTTTCGGTATGTACAATAGACCCCTTTCCTAAATTGATTTGGCCGAATAACTATGGTGTTTGGGTGGATGAATTTGAGGCTATGGATTTGCTTGATTGTCTCGATACAACATGGTCGGGTGCTGTTGTGTATATAGATGACAAAACAAAGAAGGATCTTGATAGACCTTATGGGAGGGTTAATAGGAAGCAGCTCAAGTCCAAAATGTTGCAAAAATGTGTATCAAATGGTGTCAACTTTCATCAGGCTAAGGTTGTGAAGGTTATCCATGAGGAGTCCAAATCTCTTTTAATTTGCAGTGATGGTGTGACAATTGAGGCTACATTGGTTCTCGATGCAACAGGATTTTCCAGGTGTCTTGTTCAGTATGATAAGCCCTATAATCCTGGGTATCAAGTGGCTTATGGAATTCTGGCTGAGGTTGAAGAACACCCATTTGATGTGGATAAGATGGTTTTTATGGATTGGCGAGATTCACATCTCATCAACAATACAGAGCTGAAGACTAGAAATTCGAGGATCCCCACATTTCTATATGCAATGCCCTTTTCCTCAAACAGAATATTTCTTGAAGAGACTTCCTTGGTTGCCCGACCTGGAGTACCCATAAAGGATATCCAGGAAAGAATGGTGGCCAGACTAAGGCACTTAGGAATAAATGTTAAAAGTATTGAAGAGGATGAGCACTGTGTCATTCCAATGGGTGGCCCTCTTCCTGTGCTTCCCCAAAGAGTTGTGGGAATTGGTGGTACAGCGGGTATGGTGCATCCTTCTACTGGATACATGGTAGCAAGGACACTGGCAGCGGCCCCAATTGTTGCAAATGCCATTGTTCGGTACCTTGGTGCTGAAAGGAGGCTTTCTGGAAATGATTTGGCTGCAGAAGTTTGGAAAGATTTATGGCCTATACAAAGGAGGAGACAGAGGGAATTCTTCTGTTTTGGCATGGATATTCTGCTCAAGCTAGATTTACAAGCAACGAGAAGGTTTTTTGATGCATTTTTTGATCTGCAACCCCATTACTGGCATGGTTTCTTGTCATCTAGACTGTTCCTTCCTGAGCTGATAGTTTTTGGGCTTGCTTTGTTCTCTCATGCTTCTAATACTTCTAGGATTGAGATTATGGCCAAGGGAACTCTTCCTCTGGTTAACATGATCAACAACTTAATACAGGATAGAGATTAATATGATCAGGTACATTTGTTGTGTGCTCAAATATGTCAATGCATTGCAATTTACTCCCATCCCCATAATATTACATTGAACTTGCTGTTATTTTGCTCTTTTACTCTTAACCAATAAACTCCCTAATTTCTTTTGAAAAATGTTCCACACTTTTGTTGTCTTGGCTCCTTGCATGCAAACAAATAAATGGTTATATCAAAATGATGTTTAACACCTTGCATTATATAGCTGTCTAATTTGGTTGTTTATCAATGTACAAGTAGGAGTTGGAGATCAGTTAGCTATGTCTGAGAGGCAGGTTAAAGTTTGCGTGATAACTAAGGTATGAAATGGCATCAGTTCTCATCCTGTTCGATTATTAGAAGAAATCATTTCTAGACACAAGAAGACTTTACTATTAGCATTGTAGGATTCATAGAAATATAGTAAGTTACTTTTGATCGCTTTATAGGTCTAAACAACAGTGAACACAAGAAACAGCAGGGCACCGGGGTAAGTCATAATGTTCCAGGGGCGGCCAAAAATAGATATCATAGGCTTGAGCCACAGAGTTGGCCGAGCTGTTCAGGTGTCCTGTTCTTTCACTTCCCTGACTCTGAGTGTGCCTCAGGATGGAGATATGCTGGAGATATATAGCTTTCAAGACATTTGAAACTCGACATCACTGCATGCATAAAATATATGACATATCTTACGGTCTGGCATTTCCTTTAGGTAGTCTATGGGTTTTTTTTTTTTTTTTGGTACATTGTAGTCTATGGTTTTTTTTGGGAAATAGTATTTATCTGCTGGACCTAATAAAAAATAGGAGAAAAAATTCAAAAACTATGTTATTTCAATAATTTCCCATTTAAAAGGACAAAAATAATCTATTTTTAAAGCAAAATGGAGGTTGTTTCCATTTTTTCTTGTACAACTTAATTTTATGATATTTTTCCTTTTAATTTTTTTAAGATCTAATTGGTAAACACATTTTTTTTTTGTTGTTTTCTTTGGTGTTGAGCAATATTTATGATGGAACTAGATTTTATGACTGGAAGGAAATTGGAATTTTAGTCGTTGCCTTGATAACAATTTTTTATTTTTTATTTTTTTTCTTTATTGGCCACCTAGATAACAAGTTTAGTATTGTAATATGTCTGAGGAAGGATTTGGAATTTTAGCATAGATCACATTTTTCCTTAAAACTGAGTTTATTATGCTTCTCATCAATGAAGACTCAAAAGTTTTTATAATTTTTTCCTTAGCCTAATATAAATATCATTGATTAAAAATAAAAAGCACAAAAAATTAGGAATGCTCAATCCCATCTATCACTGATTTACAAACACATAAAGTACATAGAGAAATAAGAAAAATAAGAGTAAATAACTTTTTAAAAGATTCAAATTTTTAACCTTTAACAGGTTCTCTAAAGAATGATATATAATTATTTTCTACCTAGCATATTTTAGGCATTTACATATGGGAATGGGAAAACTTTCTCACAGAACTGGTATGTTTTTTATACTGGGTTGAGGCCTTGAGGGTCAACAAATGTAATGTCAAAACAGCAGATAGCTAAATTTCCAAGGGAAAAGTACACCAACATCAAAATTTTGAAATGAAATATAAAATGCAAGCATCGTCTGTAATTATATATATATATATTTCAGAAAATGCAAAAGAAAAAAATTGGTATTATAGGGATAATTTTTTTATATCACTTTTTATATAATTTTCACATGTCATTAAATGAATGAATGCATTCATTATTATGAGTCTTATATGAATAAAAAGAATCAAACATTTAAATGACACGTTAAGTTTTATCAAAAAGTGATATAAAAAAATTGTTCCAAAATCATTTTCCAAGAAACAAAGAGGAAGAATAAAGGGACGCCTCAGATTTAGCCTTACTATAAGATATTAATTCCCATATATTGACTGCGATAATGATTTGGGAAAGAAATATCAAACAGCTTTAGCTCTGGGAAAGCTCTCGGCTCCTCTTAGCAGCGGCGACAACAGCATTCATCAGTGTCCCTCGAAAGCCACCCCTCTCCAATTCGTGAATTCCAGCGATTGTGGTACCGCCAGGTGAAATTACATCATCTTTGAGCTGACCAGGATGCTTACTTGATTTTGTAACCATTGATGCTGCTCCAAGAACCCGCATAAGAAGAAGAAGAAGAAGAAATAAGTTAATTCAAAAAATTTAAAAAAAAGACATATGGTTGATGACCAAAGGACCTCCCCAAAAAAGTGCCAGTAACAATACGTATCTATTGAAAATGTAAAATGAGAAAGTGTACATGTTGCCTTTGCTCATTCTACTTAATTTGAAGAGATTTACAAAATCTAAAAATATTGGATAACTTTCGAAAATAAAAGAACCCACACTTATTGTAATTGAAAGCTATGAAATCTCAACATGTGGCTTCATACCAAGACCAGCAGACATCAACCCTTTTCATAATCATGGTCTAGCTTATACGCAGCTACATTCTCCTGCAATCTTTACCATGGAATTCTTCTAATTTCCACAGTAGAACCATGATATTATCAACTTTACCCCCCAACCCCTACCTTAGAATAAGGAAGGAAAAAGAAGACAGAACAAAAGTTATATTAGTAAATTTGAAGCCAACCCAAACCGTAGGACCACTCTTTACATAATGTGCTATAAACTATAATGTGCTAATGCACTCTTTAGTCTTTACATAATATGCTACAAGCTAAGTTCACTCATATTAAAACTTACTCTCAATAAACTATAATGTGCTACAAAGTGGAACCACAAATTGTGTTCAAACATAGATCAGCTGCCAATTTAAGGTGGGTCTGGTGCCTCCAAGAAGTTTTTCTGAGTCCTAAAACCAGGAAAATGAGAGGCTTGCCCAACTACTTCTCATTTTCCTACTGTTCATTGACAACTAATGCTAATAAATGAACAATATCAATATGTCCCCCAGGGGATATCTGATAAAATTTAATAATATTGATACCTCAACAATATATTGAATTTTTTGTGCACAGCATCGGAAAGCAAAAATATGAATAAAGATTTCATTACAAATACTGAATATAATTTTCCTCAGAGAATTTCACAGAAATGAAGGATTGAAGGGAATATTTGAACATGATTAATTTGTATAATACATTGTATTTGCTACCATTGACTTACTGTCTGAAAAGCTAGTCCTAATGCAAGTTCTCGTGGAAGACCTGCAGCCACTCCTCCATCAGCTAAAGCTTCAATTGCTAGATAGGCATATGCTGGGCCACTTCCACTAGCAAATTTCAAAAACATTGTCCATTAAACAAACTGTTCTTGCATGACACAGAAATCATTTGCAGAACATATTTATCACTGCTTGTTGATGCCCAAGGAATCTTTAAAAGTGTGGAATCAATGATTTCACTTACACACCCCATAGCCATGC